TTCAGAAAACGTGAGTTTGTTGAAGGGTGATGTGGATGGTATTTTTGGATTCAAGCGTCACAAAAACCTTTGGGTCTTCTCTTTTAAAGTGGACTATTTCTGTGACAAAGAAGGATATTACAAGTACAAAATGTTCATACCTTCATTAAAGACCAAAGCGCTCCACTGAAACTCATTTGGGAAAGCATAAATCCATTCAGTTTGGTCAGTAGGCCTTTGACACAAGGTGCAGTAGATTTGCATATGGGGCCACTGAGCAAGTGGCCACAGGCCAAATCCCCACATTCATCATATTAGTCAGTGCATGGATTGTAATGAAAATAAATATGGATAAAACAAAGGCAAAGTAACATATAGGAACAGGAATGTTGGTATATAAAGAACTACTCACAAAGAAAAGAGGTCAAGAGGAAAGTGTTAGTAATGTGGTAGGGAAATGAAACCGATTGAAAAGGAGAGATAAGCAAAATGGGACAAGCAGAGCCAGGAGAGAGGGAAGATTGAGAGGGAGGGAAAGGGAGAATTGGGTAGAGGACAGAGAAAGAGGGGACAGGCACTTATCGGGGGGGAATGGGGTTCTGTAGAGAGAGCTGTGAATATTTAACTCTGTTTAGTTTTCCATTCCTGCCTTTGGCGTTGGCTTGTCTCTGACGCCTTTTGATTGCCTGCAGGTTACTGATGGAAGGAGATATCTCTATATATGCACGTCTATAATTTTGTGGGGAAGATTAATTTGAAATGTAACAGGTATGTAGAATTATTCTAAATGCTAAGCACCTGAGTAAATGGTAACTGGGCTTCTTTTAGGAGAGGCTTTTTTCAGTTAATCAATTCATTCTAATTCTTTCTAATTCTTTTCCCCCATTTGTTTATTTTCCTAGTGACATAAAAATCACTTTTCAAAATATGACAGTCTTGTGTGTTTTGTTGTCTCCCTGCATTTTTGGGCGGCTGCAGCTAAGGAGGGACAACAGTCATGCTAATCAGAAGATCGGTGGTTCAAACCCTGGCTGCTCCTGTCTGCCAAAGTACCTTTAGGCAAGATGCTGAACCCCAAGTTATTCCTGATGTATCCATTGGTGTGCAAGTGTTAGACAGAAAGCACTTCAGCATAGAAAAAAAGTGCTTGTGTATATGTGAACATACACCACCTTGCATTTAATCATTAGGTATTATTAAGGTCTGGCTCTCTTGCACAGTGTCTGTTTTGTCTTGCCTTCCTCCTGCAACTGGTCGAGCCAGATGGCCACCCCTCCCTGAGCCTGGTTCTGTCTGAGGTTTCTTCCTGACACTGGGAAGGGAGTTTTTCCTTCCCACTGTCAACAAGTGCTTGCTCATATGGAGTGGTCAGATTGTTGGGGTTTTCTCTCTTTTACTGTAAGATCTTTACCTTACAATATAAAGTGCCTTGAGGCGACTCAAGGCACTTATATAGTGCTTTTGATTTAAAAAGCACTATATAAGTGCTTTTGGACTGGTTCACTATATAAGAACCAGCCCATTTACAATGTGTGTTCAGACAAAGTCAAAATAACAACTTTGGATATTAAGTGTGCAAAAAATTAGACTGAATTAGACTAAAGCAACGTTATACCATAATTGCATAGAATACCTTTAATGTCTGTGTTTTTTATTAGTACAATACTCTAACACTCTAATGCTTTCTAGTTCATACAGAAAACTTTGCAGCACTAACCAGCCTTTGACAACTTTTTGACCTGCTGTTTCATTCATAAGTCAGGGCCTGGCAGACTTTTGAAACATCTTTTTGAAGCTTTAGATTGATGATTGATGGTGGAAATGCATGAACCTGCTCTGAAACTCCACTCTGACATCTCTTTGCAATCTGTTATCCCAACAGGCTGTGACTGGTCCCATCCCAAGATGACATCCCCCAAAAATAAAGCCAAGAAGAAACCACCAAAAGACAGCATGACACTGTTGCCGTGCTTTTATTTTGTAGAGGTATGTGCCGCTAGATCAGATGCACGAATGAGTCACCTTTTTAAAATACAGATGCTTGTTTGACATTTCTCACTGCATTTATTGAATTAGTCCATACTGAATCATTCCTTTTTCTGTACAATGATACCAATAGTGAGTGCCTTGTGTTGAATGCATTTGGAGGCATCTGACATCTGTTGTAAAGCAAGCAAGACGAGTATAACTTGCCCTTTTGTGTGTGTTTGAAAGTGTGTATTTGTTTGTACTGAAGATGAAACATTGGATGAATCACTTTTTTCCAAGCAAATATTATCTGCGAGTCACTCTTTGCTATGTCCTTGGTCGCATTTGTGTGTGTGTTTGTGTGCGTGCATGCATATCCAGCTCCCCATCGTCCTATCCTCCTTGGTGTCCCTTTACTTCCTGGAGCTGACAGATGTTTTGTCCCCGGCGATGGTGGGCTTCCGTTGCCATGACCGCGACCTCTCCATGCCCTATGTGGAGACAGGCGATGAGCTCATCCCTCTGTTGATGCTGCTGAGTTTGGCCTTTGCTGGACCTGCAGCTTCTGTAAGTCTATATGATACACATGTGAGGATCATTTGGGGTGCTAGTTTCCTGTGTTACAGAGTCCTAGAGTTACTCCATTGGATTGTGTATAAAAATATCCATTCCATCCATTCCATCCATCTATCCATCCATCCATTCCATCCATTCTATCCATTCCATCCATCCATCCATCCATCCATCCATTCTATCATCCCATCCATTCCATCCATCCATCCATCCATTCCATCCATCCATCCATCCATCCATTCATCCATCCATCCATCCATCCATCCATTCATCCCATCCATCCCATCCATCCATTCCATCCCATCCATCCATCCATCCATCCATCCATCCATCCATCTATCCATCACACCACAATGTTACACGCTATACTTTAATAAACTATTCTATACTAGTCATACCTAATAAATAGGTTAAAATTGACTTTCTATTAAGCATATATTTCTATGGCATTCAGTGC